TGTTATCCAATTTCTTTCTGGGTAGAATGGGCCTTCTAGCCAGCGACGAAGATTCAACCCACAGCACCAAAACATGCGACTCAATGGATCTCTTAAATCACAAGGTGCCAGCAGTGAGGTAGATCAAAATAATATAAAAAAAATCTGAACACAGAAGGCAGCAGCATAACAGCTTCAGATCTAAAAATAAAGGAGCTATGAAAAATCAAGAGCAGCCCGCAACTACAAGGACCACGGAGAATCCGACACATTCCGAAAAGACCCGACGAAAGCATCCTACAGCAGACACTGCAGATCACAGGCCTTTCCAAGGCAGTGTTGGCAGGGTGTCGCAGTGCAATTTATGCCCTACAAGGATGGAGGTCTCTGCTGATGCCACTGTTCTTTCGGTGCCAGCTGTGACTTTGGTGGCGTAAAATGTCATGGTGACAGCAGGCAGAGAAGTTTAATCTCTTCATTTTAGTTTCTTGCTCAAGATGCTTGTTGGTGAAGAAGATAAGTCAGAACACAGTCATTTTAAATCTGTTGCTGCTTAAAACTGGTTGGTATCTTCATTACTTACTAATTGTCTAAATTAATTCATACTTTCAAGGCTTTACCAGTTTGTTCACAGTTACTTTGTTATGAATGACAGTACAGAATCCTACAAAAGCAGCATCTACTTCTTAGAAACATGAAATCTAGATTGGAAAAATGAAGTGATAATTAAATTCATAATAGCAAAAGACCTGTGGTAGATGTGTGGTTATACCAGCCAACATTGTTGTTTTTTAGAGCTGCCTGTGTTAGAAGGGTCCCAGGAAGTCTGTAATGCTGTGGTCTGCAATGAAATCAGATAATCCTGTAGTGTTTCTGCAAATCTCTATACACCTCTTTCTTTCTTTCTGTGTGTGTATACATGTACATGCATGCACACTGTATACGCAGAGTATTGTTACGTGCAAGAACATTTCAGAAAGCAGTACATTTGATTTTAGCTTATTCTTCCGTAATATGAGCTCTTTCAATTCAAGTATAATTGTATTAAATGTATTACATATTGGTATTTTCATTGACAAACTATTTTTATGAGGCTGAGGGAAAACACTCATTCCTTAAGTTTGGAATGTATATAGTCATGGCTACCCAGATGCACAGCCCTATTCGCCATCCTTATCAGCCCCTTTTCTATGACTAGCTGGATTTATTTTTTTGCATATAAAAAGTTGCAGGTGTTCTAGCCTTGAATCCAAATTATTTTTCTATATTTTTGCGGTAGGAACCATCTGTCCATAAGAAGAGCTATGACTAGTAATTTGTTACACAACATGCAGCGGAATGTGGAGGTACATATTTGAGCAGATACTACATCCTTCTGAGTTTTCTATTGAAGTAAAACACTTACTTAGTTTAATGTTCTGATTCTGTATTTCAGAAAACCTGTTTCTTCCAAAAAAATTAAAATCTTCTTTCTAAAATATTCTGGTGTTTGCTGCTTTGCAGTGCCTAACCTTTGTGATCTTTCTTAGATTGCATTTGCTTAATTCAGCTGGTATCTGTGGGAGGCTTTCAGCTGAGTTTGGATTGGACTAGGCTTTTGCTCTTAGCTAGATTCTAATGCCACAAGTGCACGGAACAAAACCTTCCCATGAGAGCCGCCTCCATCCTGGACACGCTTTTAATGTAAGTTGTTATTTACCGTAGTAAGGTGTCAGAATGCAGAGCTGGCATCAGGTCAACTAGCTGCCTGAGGGTCAGAATCGGAAAGGTGGAAAAGGGTTTCTCTTCTACCCAGGTCAGCAAGAGCAGGACACTTGGATGTCTTTAAAAGTTTATTCCTAGGTTATCGTTTGCTATATTGCTTTTTACCAGCTTCCCTGCCTAATTTTTGTTAGCTAACTGCACGCTGCCTTAGTACTGACCGGTTTACTTCTCCTGAGTGGCCCTTGCAAAATAATCCCAAAGTGTAGCGTGTCGTGTATCTCTTCAGGGTGATTTTGATTATTTTCATTTCTCTTGTTACCTGTATACATTGTTCCACATGGGAATATTGGTAAAGCCCTAGGAGGCAAATAACTCCTCTTCATCTGGAAGAGTGGTGAAAGAAAAATACACACACGTAGGTAAACACTGGCTTTCCTAGCATTGCAAGCACTGCTTCTATCCTAGTTAGTTACTTGTCACACTTTTAAGGTGAATGCTTTGAGTAAATGGAGCTGCAACTACAGAATCTGTGTTGTACACACCCATCAGCTAGGTAGATTTTCAAAATTTGCCTGCTGGCATACAGCTTGACCTGTCAGGTAATGTAGTTACAATTTCCGTGCGCACATTACGCAGGAATCTCACTATGTTGTACTAAAGTAATTTGTGAAACAAACCTGCATCTCTTCTCGTAACACCTCCTAAAACCTGACAATCTAACTTACTTATCATGACTTTTACTCCTTCCTGATAGCTTCTCCACTTGAGAGGATGGTTGAAAGGGACTCTGTTCCTTTAGTCAGCTCCCTCACAAGTAGGCTGCTGCAAATCAGCGACATCTGTCGTGGTAAGTTGTAACTCGGCACAGCAGGACGGCCTCGTGCCCTTCAGTACCAGCTGACCTTTGTGCTGGGACAGAGCCAGGACTAGCAGGTGAGAGACAGTGTCCCTCTTCAGACCGTGGTGCAGACACATTTCATTTGAGGAGAAAAGCAGGTGTGGATTTGGCTGGTTCTGGGAACGCCGTGGTGTTCACACGCCAAGTGTGGTATAGTGTCGCAGCACGTGGTTTAACTGCAGCTGTGCTCTGAAGTGTAGCTGCCTCAGAGCGGTATCTCTTCATCTTTCATTTCTTGTCTCTCTGCATGCTTGGAATTAAATCTGCCTGTTTCTAGCAGTGTTTTATTTCCTCACAAATGCGCCCCCAGTTTGCAAAGCAAATAGAGCTGCTTGGCATCCCTCAAACACAAACATGGAATTCCTTCTGCACTTTGTACGCTCTTGAAAGTGGAAACACACCTTAAAGGGCAGGTTGGATCTGTTTACCTAAGATTAAACTCAGAGCAAGGGCAGAACTCAGCAGAATAAGGCAGTAAGTACATAGATGAAAACTAAAAGGAGAAGGTAACAACACAATCAAGCTATTTGGAAAACCTATTTAAGGGTGTTTGGAAAAAAAGTTTAAAACCCAACAATGTGTTTAAAAATTTCACCTTGAGAGAGAAACTAAGAATTCTGGAAGGGAAGCATGGATTTTGTAGGGCTGTCCTGCACTGTGCAGTGGCAGGGGAACACGTGGTCTCAGCCATACGATGGGTAGTTCTTACTGTGAGTTGCTTTCCCCGTGCAGTGACTGGGCTGCGTGGAGATTTTGCACTTCAGCTACATCCTTCCTGTTCATACACTTGTGACCACAGCAGAGGCACTGTGGGTTCCAGAAGACCGAGTACCACTGCCGATTACCCACCTGAGGCTATAACAGAAATTTCCCAGCAGTCTGAGACAGTACAGCCATTTTATTATGGCAGGCTACTACAGCAAACTGTACTAAAATGTTCAGTGAATGTTGTACCAGAGACCAGGATGAGTGACAAGATACAGCTGTATGTGTTTTCACCTACCGGACATACATACAAAAGGGGCAGCTTTGAAAAGAGCCAAATCCTTGATGCAAACTCTGGGCACACTACACTGCTGATCATCTGACCCCATGTATTTGCAGGGTTATTTTCAGCCAAGAGTGGTCAGTTCTGGTATGAACTGCCAGATTTTTTTTTTTTTTTCAGGAAGAAAATTCTGGAAGAAGAGCCAAAAAGCTCAGAAAGCAGCAAAGCTCTGTTACATCGGCCTTACCCATTTCTGCTGCTTAACATCTTCTGTTAAAAGCTGTTGCCCAAAGCAAATCTAGATTTTTGTGGGGCTTTGTTACTAGAGTATTTGCAGAGTTGTACTTCTAACCACACTTTCATTCTCACTTTCATTCTGTACCTGCAGCTGAGAGACAGGCAGCTTCACTCCCAAGTTTTTGGTGGCACAACTGTCTGGTTTTTATCTGGTAAGAATTGTCCTTTGTGGATTCGGAAGAACTAAGTAGATGAAATTTTTAGAGTTGCATTTAGCAGTGTGATAGGACTCTCAATGTTTAGGAACAGCTGTATTTACTGTGCTGGAAAAGCAAAAGCAGTAGCAAACCCAACCACAACCACCCAGCACCCACCTGTAAGCAAGCAAGAGCACAAAACAAAGCCAGGTTTTGTTCACTGATTTAAACAAGGAGAAGGGCTTTCTGAAATCAGTGAGCCAAATCTGGCTGTCCTCTGCTGACGGAAGTGTACAGCAGCTCTCCAGCGCCATTACTCAGAAGTTACCCTGGAACAGGACGGTCTCCTGTGTCCTGCTCTAGGGGAAGGAGGGCTTTTATCTTCCTTCAGGGCAGGGCAGCTCTGCTGCCACTGCTTTGCTGCAGGGAAGTTGAGGTGGTCCCCTCCTCGCTGGAAAGCGCCGGCAGAAGGACGTGGGAAGGCCAGCTCTACCTCGGACCTGCGAGGTTCCCTGCAGCCGCGGAAAACACACCCCACCTTGGTGCAAGGCTGCACGTTAACACCACGTCAGGAAAGCAGTACTCACATCTTGGGACTGTGGCCAAAACTGCCTCGTTACTCCCCAGTCGTGAGTTTCCTTGCTGTGCCCAAGGGAAGGCGGTCCCTTCCATTGCTCCTCATAGCCATGGTGACCAGTCCTCACCAGAAGTACCAGTAAGCGCATTCAGCTTCTGGAAACTTCACAGTCAAAGCTGCTTATTGTTACCTGCTTTTCCCCACTGCAAGGATACAAATGGAAGGAACTTAACTTGGTAAAGTTGATGGAGAGGGCTTCTCATGCTGTGCAAGTCCTCCCTGGGAAAAGCTCAGCAGTACAGCCTGACAGAAATACAGATGCGAGATACTGGAACGATAGACTGCACATGCTCTTGTTTGAGGGGTTTTTTTAACCCATTTTCATTCTCCCCAACATCTAAAAATATTTAGAAATAAAGCAGAAGACAGGCTTCAGTGTTCACTTAAAACAATTTCTCCCTGTGCTTTTCACAAACTTTTTCATTGTCATGTTCTACTGAGTCATTGAATAAATGACCCCATGAGATGACATCTTTTCTTTGACCAGATGAGGCACAGCTCTCCAGTCAATCAGGCTGAGTCAGTCCACTTTATCATCCTTAATACTCTCTGCTAATACAGCTGGTCCTTCGTTGCTTAGTACCGTAGGAGTAGCAGGAATTTCAGCAGCAGCGCTGTCCTGTTCACTTGTGTTACTGGATGCAGAAGAAGATGGCTGAGGTATCACGAGAAAAAGTGGCGTTCGCTTCAGCTTTACTACACGGTTGCTTACGGGCTTCCTAGACGCTGCCGTCTCGCGCGTCGTTTGACATGGAGTCCCTTCGTCAGCGCTCTGCCTTCTGCGGGGCGCCTGGGGATTGCTGGGTGCCGATGTGTATGCTGTGGGTACAGTTTCAGAAGCTACTTTCTGCGCCGTCAGACTTTCACTGTTGGGCTGTTTAAGAGTCACTGCAGAACGTGGAGCACTGCAAGCAGCTACCTTTAACGAAGCTGAATTCTTTACTCTGATATGGGTACTTGTTGAGGGACCCGAGAATCTAATTGGCTTGGGACCCGCTTTACACGGCAAATAGTCCTCCTCTTCAGTAAAGTCGGTTAATCGCCTGTAAAACCAAGAACTTCCATTAAAGAAACAAACTGTGTACATAAATTATTATTCTTATAATTACAAACCAGTCTGTGACAGCCATACGCAACTCTGAAGTTTTTTTAATTTTTGCTTGTTACGGTATCATTTACAGTCCTCAACTGTTCATCACTGCAGTCAGGCTCGTTTGTGTATGGACAGTACCACCACTCTCTTCCACCTGTAAGCACCAGTGCACATTAAGAACTGTGAGAGAGATGGTGCACAAACTGCGAAGTGAAAACCCATGAGAAGGAGGGCTGCAGGAGTTACAGAAGGAAAATACCACAATGCTGCAGATCCTGTCAGACACTAAATCCACTAAATACTAGTCTGCTGATGGGTTTTATCTACAAAAATATAAGACCCAATGGCACATAACCACAAAACAGAGTTCCACACCATGTAATTTGAGAAAAGAAAGATACTGCTGCTTTCTGCCTACCCCATTTCTTTTCAATAGAAATGATTATGGACAATTTTTCAAGAGAAAATTTTTTAAAAAAGAGCCTACGTGAGGAAGTCGTACGGCAACTCTAACCAGTACAAGTAGACGGCATTTTTAAAGTATTATACAACTGCTGTTTCTCAGTGTTGCCAAAGAAAAATGGAGAGGCACCTAGAAGATTTTAATTCCTTAAGGAAATAATAAGTGATGCCGCAGAAATGCAGGTCACGCCAAAACAGCTGAACAGAATGTTAGAAAACCTGAAACCCAACAAAATAAAAGCTAGACCAGGTCGGGTTAGAGGGATGATCAGTGAATATAAATCAACATCAGTTCTGGAGAGATGAGGAAGGGGGAAAAGAACACAGAGACCAAATTAAACTCAGAGAATATTAACAATGCCTTTACATGGCTCTATTGCTGCCTCCTACATGGGGTAAAACTACTAAAACCTGGTAGTAGGAAAAAGAACATGTATGAATTGGATTAGATCTAGATTTTGATCTGACAAAGAAAAGCTGTAGCTGTAACTGACCTCTTTGTCAGGAAGGAAGGAACATTTGGCTGGCAGGTCAGTAGTGTAAACAGGCTGTGAACTGAGAGCACCACTACAGAACAGCTTAATAGATACACAACGGAGCCACTGAAGTTCTTCAGGGTAACTGCATGTTGGATTTTAAAAGATCTGTGTAATGCCACAGGGATTCATACCAAAAGAATGAACAATATCTGAGAGTAATTATAAAACTGGCATAGAGTGACACTGTTCAAATAGAAAGCCTGCTAATAACCTAGTATTTAAACCTGGACCAGTGAGGTTCTTCTCCGAGCCAGAAGGTGAGAATGTATTCTCAACGTCTGCACGTCCTAGATCAAAAGAACCACCAAAACAAAAAGAAAAGCTTAAACATTCAAAGATTTGGTGCTTTAAAGCAGCAATGAAGTGTAGGTAAAACATAATTAGTAGCTAGGGGTATTTACAGTATTTCAAGACAGTGTGTGGTCTCACCAGGATCACTGCAGTGTATCAGCTGAAACCTGAACGTGGCTTTTTTGAGGTGTAGAAGAATAGAGGAGACAACACAGAGAGATGGGAGATAAAACAGGCAGTGGTAGCAGAGGAGAATTCAGGAATATATGTAGGCTGTTTGGCAATCCAGGGATCAGATGATCACAGTCCTTCCTGTTTGAGCTACAAAGAGCAAAGAATGCAGCATCCATATAATAGGGCGGGATGGGGAGAGAGCAGTTTTCAGTTGGATCACTGTGCTGATGTGGCTCTGTTGGCTGCTGCTGGAATGACAGTGTGGCTAGGGACGAGGAAGGTCGGCAGGACCCTATCCAGCAGAAAAGTGGCTGTGGCTGGCTCAGATCAGCTGTGCAGCTCCACCTGCAAAGCCTGCTTTTAGGTGATTTTATTGAGAATGGAGGTGCAGTCCAAAGTGTCATCGTAAACCCGCAAAGGAGAAATTCTACAAATTCCTTCTAAAAAGAAGGCATCTCACATATGTGAGTATCAGTTAAGCCTGTGAAGTTTTCAGTTACATTTCTCAGCAGTCCATTTAATTAGTACTGCTCTCTACTTTTGAAATCACTCCTTCCCACTCCGAAGTGATGTTTTAAAGGCTGAAGAAGTAGAATAGAACAGCTTCAGCAGCTTATTTTTAAGAAGTGGTGTACTGTTGCTGTATTTCGAACCACCTCTGCAAATGAGCATACCTTTTGCGAACGGGAGGCATGTGATGCAAACTGCCTTTCAAGGGGCGTTCTTCCAGAGTCCAGCATTCAATCAGCTCCTGAGGCACTCTCCAGTAGCTGACACCTGCATTTCAGAGGGACATCGTATTGATGTGCTGGGAGAACACGGCCGATGCCATGTGTATGTACACCTGACTAAATGAACGTGTCTATTTCATGATGTAGAATTTCAGCCTTGAAACTCAGCTGGCATAAATGTTGCTTTACAGCCAGCATGCTCCTAACGCTCCCACCAGCGTGTCCGGTGCTAGCAGGCTGTCACCCCTGCACGTGGTGGCTCTCACCACGTCCATTCATTCATGTCAACTCATGTCACCTCGTTGGAATGTCCTCTAAGATTATTTCTTGGGTTTTTTTTCCTCCAGATAGCCACTACTATGGGATACTTTACAACATGTTACTTACTGAATGAGTGAAAATGTATGTAAAGGTTTTATTATAGTTAATTGGCAAATATTTTTCTGTAAAAAAGTAGCACTACTGAAATAAAGAAAAAAAATCAATACCTTTCCCTTTCCAGGCATTGAAAGCATCCATCATCTTTTTCAACTCCGCTGCTGAGTAATAGCTCCAGATGTACTGGACGTTGTTTCCAGCTTCTCTAGAAATATTGTTTTAAAGGTAACAGTTATGTGGGAAATCTAGTTCTAAAGTCCTTAAAATGTAAGACATTCTTTTTACATGATGTAAACATCATTCTTTTTACCAAATCCCAAATGTGAGGACTTAGTGGTAGATTTGTAAAGTAGGAAGAAAAATGTTGCTTGAGTTTTATCTTCATTTGTGTAAGAGGTTCTAAATAGCCACCCTCCTATGATCTGCATGCCTGGGAACACCTCTTGCTCAAAACGGGTATTCATGAAAGAAGAGATGTTCATAAAAGAGTAATTACAGAATTGATGGTGTAAAATCTATTCTTCCAGATCTCAATCATTTATTCAAAAGGAAAACACAGTAGGAGGACAGATACCTGATACTATTCCAAATACTCCTGGAATAAATATTAATGCTGCCAGCCTAAATTTAGGAAAACAGGCATCTGAATTGCCAAGATGATAAAGCAGCAAAAGCTCATAGTCGTGTTTCAAAAGGTACACAGTGAAGTACACGTCTGACACTCTACTGTGAGACCAAGAGAAAGACACGTTACTTCCAGACACTCGGTAGTACAGATCTACCAATAACTTAAAACTACTGTCACAAAAATACAGTAAGTGTTGTAGAGATGTACGTGTTCTTCAAAGAATTAAAACCATTTCCTTTCATCTTCAGCTCTTTCTGGTGTTAAGTATTTCTTTCAGCTGTCTTAGAAGACTGGAAAATGCAATTGCATGGTTCACAACCAACTTTGTGAATACTTCAGAAACTTTCTCTGGATGGGGATTCATTCACTGTATTTAGTGTAAATATTGTCCGAAGTTAGAATGTCATTGTAAATGGTTGAGACATTTTCTAAATAGCAAGTAAAACATAAGAACTTAAAGCAACTGCATGCTAGCCACCTTTTGTGGACTCTCAAATTCTCGTACTCTATGCTTAGAACTTTTGTGTGTTTGTTTAATGTGACCATTGTATTAGCCAGCTGTTTTCACACCTGGAAAGAATCTGGTTCCTTCCACAGACTTACAGTACAATAATCACAGAATCACAGAATGGTTTGGGTTGGAAGGGACCTTAAAGACCATCTAGCTCCAACCCCCCTGCCATGGGCAAGGACACCTTCCACTA